CAGTTGTCCTCCTGTGTGGGCCTCAAACAAGGAGTCAAACTAAACAAACAGGGAAGTAACTGGCTTTATGCTGTTTTCTGCCTGGCAAGGAGAGAACAGCGCGCTAGAAGGCTGGGCCTGCCTGGCCCTCCCCACCTCTGGGAAGGGGGGCACAGGAAGGAGGGGGGCACAGGGAGGAGGTGGGCACATGGCCCTCAGCAGCTGCCCTCACCTTTCTGTCTCCTCAGCCCTTTCCTGCCCTGCGATGGCCCAAGGAGCTCCCCTGTCTGCTTTGTCACACACACTTTCGGACTTTGAGTCTCAGTGGCTCCTGGCCAGAGCTAAATCTTCAGGAGCTGGGCACCAGGTTGAGGTGCCATCCTCCGCCCCTGGGTGGGTGGGGGGGTAAGTCCTGCCCTAACCCCAGGGAAATGGAACTTGGGAAGGGAGGAGGAAGGGAGGAGGAAGGGAGTCAGGCTCCCAAAATGCTGATTTAAGGTCGCTGCTGGGATTAAGAAACTGGTGGTGGGGGAGATCTAGGCGGCACCCAAAGGCTGAGAGGGACCAGTGAGGGCCAGGGGCTGAGCAGCCTGAGGGGCTGCTGGGGGAAATATCTGTGGTGGCAGCACGCATGCGTGTATACATGTGCATGTGTGTAGCAGCCTGTGTGTGCGTGTACACACACACACACACACACATTCTCCCAGGGGGAGTTACGCGGAGGCTTATGCCAGAGCCTTTGCATTCCTCTGCACCCCCAGCCAGCCCTCTCTGCAAACTGCTTTCTCATGGCTCCCAGGGACATTCTCCTCTACCGCCCTGTTCTCTAGGCTGTGTGTTTCCCTGCTGCCACAGCTCCTTCAGCCCTCTCTACAGCAACTGTACAGACACCTGCATTTTATTAATGCTGCCTGGAGCTGGAGCTGGGGCTGGGCTGGACCCCCTCAGCCTTCGCTCCGCACCCCCATGCTCAGTGAAGCAGAACACAAGGGTTAACCCTGTGTGGCTGGGTTTCCGCAGAAAAATGTGGGTTCCCAGAAGCGGGGGTGGGGGAGTCCTGCCTCACACAGCTCTCAGGCATTCTGGGATTCCCTAGCTCTGGGCTCGCCTTGTCCTAAGAGAATTTCAGCCTAGTTCTCTCATCACGGTCCCTCATTTCTCTTCCCAGAAGATTCTAACACTATTCTGCCTTGAATAGAGTCCTTCAAGATCAACACCTCAAAGCTAGCCCTTTAAACTTCTTTTCCAGCCCTCTGCCTTAAGCTAAACAATTCCAGAAAAATAGCTGCTTTTCTCTTTAAAATATTTTAAATAAGGAAAGAATAAAGAGCATAAAAATGCCCCATAATCCCATCACCCTGAAAGCCCCCGTTAGCATTTCTTTTAAAGAAACACATGCACATGGCTCTACAAAAAAAGCCGTGAAGGTATATTGTGAAACTGTGCTATCTCTCCCCTCACGCCACAGTGACTCTTCTCAAAGACAGGGACTGTTTACAGTTTCCTGAGTACCCTTCCAGGGGAAAAATGCGGGCATCTTCTTTGTTTCAATTAAAACTAAGCCTGGAATTCTTGCCATATCAGCTCACAGAGATCTTTTCCATTCTCTCCTCCTCTTTCCCTTCCCCTTTCTTTCCTTTTTCTCTGTCACTCCCTCTCTCTCTCCTGCAATTTTCCCTCCCTTTCTGCTGTCCTGAGTGCCCACTTCCTCCCCCTCCCCAGCAGCACCCAGCTTTCTCCTGTTCCTTTCAGTGGCTGCATTTGAATGCATGGTAGGGCTACACCACAGTTTATTAACCAGTGAGCCAGGGATGGCCATTGGCAGCTTCCAGTTTATCATTGCCTGCATGATCTTCGGACATACTCTGGAGGGTACATGTGTATAAGAACTCCTATCAGTAGGTTGCTGAGGGAAAAGATGTGCATTTCATACTTGTCTACAATTTTTTAAAAGCATTTTCTTCTTTCAGTTTTTTTTTTTTTTCCTACCAGGGAAACTCCTAGACATCTGTCAGAATCCAGCTCAAATATCAACCCTTCTGTGAAGACTTTACTGATTGCACCCTGAACAGCTAGCTCCTTCTCCCATGTTTCCTGAGAGGTTACTTCAATTTTAGGGATCTGTTTTCTATATTGGGTCTTGATGTGAAGACATTGACAGATTTTCTTCTGTGGCATAATGCTTTTTCCTTTGTGTGTGTGTGTGCAATTCAACTTCCGGGTATATATCCAAAAGAACTAGAAGAAGGAAGAGATATTTGTACACCCAGATTCAGGACTGCATGACAGTGACAAGGTGGAAACAACTGAAGAGTCCACCAAGAGAAAAATGGATGAATAAAATGTGATATCTGTCTGTCCTCTCTCTCCCCTATTTATTCTATCATCTAACTATCTATCTCTTATATATCGTCTATCATCTATTGAAATAAACTGATTGTAAAGGGACAAAGATTGCATGATGCCACATACAAGTGATACAGTAGTCAAAATTACAAAAACAAAAAGTAAGATGGTGGTTGTCAGAGGCTTGGAGGAAGGGAATTTGCAAACTTTATTTGATGACTACAAATTTCATTTTTGAGAAGATTAAAAGTTTTGGGGATGAAAGTGGTGATGATTGTAAGACGTATTTAAATATTTTGTTTTTCTTTGCTCTTTGAGTACCAGCAATTGAACTCAGGACCTCACGCTTGCCAGGCAGGTGCTGTGCCACTGAACTATATCCCTAGCCCCATTGTGAATATATTTAATGCCCCTGAAACATACTCTCAACATGATTTTAAAAATGTAAGTTTTATGTTAGATAAATTTTGGCATTTATGTTTTCCTTTGTGTGAAAATGTGCCATGGCATAGATGTGCAGTTGCTGGTCAGCCCTCCTAATGAGTTGCTGTGACCATCTCTTCCTTGGGCACTGCTGGCCCATCCAGGCCTGGAGAGTACTTATCCTATTTCCAGATTATTTCCAGGGAAGGGAGCCCATTACGTTATTAGGCAATCTTTTCCAGTGTCTCAAAACCCCAGACATTCTTGGTACCAGACCTTTCCTGCGGCACCTGAGTTGATTTTCCTTGGTCAGTAAGTGCTTTGCCAGGCCCTTAACACTTCCCACACTTTGAGACCCTTGCTGCCCCATTCCCAGAACAGATCTTGTGGTGCCTTGTAACAGGCCGGCGCCGGCGAGTGGGCTTCAGAGGAGAGACTCCTCTTGCTTCTCATCAGCACGATGGGGCTGGGATTCCTAAGCAAAACTTGGGGTTCAGGGGACCCAGCAGGCGAAGGAATCTACTGTCTCCTCCCTCATTTCAGATGTGGGCTGTTGGACAGAAGAGCTTCTCCCTCTCAGATCTACCCCAGAAGGCCACTTGCTGACAGGTGAGTACCCCCAGGGAAGGGCAAGTCTAGCGTGTCACTGCATCATGTCCCTAGACTCCTGTATGACCAGAGACCTCATGATATAGTAGTCAGCTGCTTGAAAGGTGAGTTTGGCAGGCATGTTCTCTGTGCCCTGGCATATGCCAACCTTGTCAGCTTTGAAACATCAAAAGTCTCCAAGGGAATGGGCTGAGACCTGTTTCTGCAGTGCCTTCAGCTACAGGCTTGCTCGGCCTGACTCAGCGGAGAATCTAAACAGTAGTCGATGCTTAGTCCTCAGATATCACTGCTACCACAAAGGCACGGTCTATGTGGGAGTGGGTGCCCGCTGCACCTCCTCACCTACCATCCAGGGGCCAGAGGTATCACTGGTGCTCATCTCCCTCTGTCACTCCAGGTCGGTGTTGACAGTTCTGATCTCAGCTTCTGGTTATATGAAAGCCTTGGGCCCAAAAGGGGGCTGAGGCCTCAGGAAGACCATAGCCCTCAGGTACGTCATGCACTCAAAGCCAGATGAGTGTGAGACTCCCTATGCGCTAGACAATAGGCACCAGCATTAATGTTAGCATAGTTTGTGCATTATAAGATGGCCTTGGGCCTTCTCTCTTCCAATCAGCCAGAATGTCTGAGATAGTGATTTCCAGATGCCCTTGTGGAATTTTCATTACGATCAGGTTGCTAAGGAACTACCCTCTACCTTTGGAGTATTTTGGAAATACTAGCATCCGCATAGGGTTTTTTTTTTTTTTTTTCTTGCAGCATGTGTGGCTCTTAAAAAATGTATTTATTACTCTCTCTTCCCGTGCCCATCCTTGGCTCATCCATCTAAGGAGCTGGCATCTGGAAACTCCAGAAAGAAGGAATGTAGAAGGAATGGAAAAGGTTGCCCAAGCTTCACATGCAGAAAGAGATTGTGACTGTATTGTTCACAGGCGAATTCCCAGGATTTTGCATGACAGGCAGACAGAGGTTTCAATTAATTCAGACACTGCTGTATGCCAAGGTTTGGGTTAATGATAGCTCACATACTGGACAATGGTCCCATAAAAGCATGCTGGAGGTAAAAACTTCCTGTCACCTAATGACATTATAGGCATTGTAAAGTGTAGTGTGCATTACTCACAATTGTGGTGATGCTGGTATAAACAAACCTACTATGCAACTGGTCATATAAGATATAGCACAACTACACAGAGTGTGTAACTCTTGATAATGGGAATAAATGACCATGCTACTGGTTATGTATTACTAGACTACCCATACTGTATGGTTTCCCTTTCATTCTTTCTTTCTGGATTATTTTTTTGTGGTCCTTTCTTTTGCTTGTTTGTTTTCCTTTTTTTCTTTTTTGGTACCCAGAATCGAACCCAAGACCTTACACTTGTTGGACAAGCACTGTACCACTGAGGTATGTTTCCAGCTTTTTATTTTTTACTCCAAGAGGATTGAACCCCGGGCCTTGTGCATGTTAGCAGGCAAGCACTCTACTGAGCCTTATATATTATGTTTTATCATTATTTTAAAATATCTTCTTTCAAGCTTTTTTTGGGGGGCGGGGTACCAGCAATTGAACTCACAACCTAGTGCTTGCCAGGCAGGTGCTCATGCTGCTGAGCTAAATCCCTAACTCCTAATATGTCTTCTTTCTACTTATAAAATGGTATGCCATGTTACACGGACAGCAGTTTCATATATCTTGTATTTACTGCATGTTTTGATTGCATTGAAAGGATGCACAGAGTGCATGCTTGTAATCCCCTACTGGCTGAGGCAAGAGATTACATGTTTGAGCCCTGCATGTACAACAGTAACCTAGTGAGACCTTATCTCAAAGAAAAAAGGAAGGGAGAGAGACTGGGGACACAACCCAGTGCTGAGACCTAGGTTCAATTCCTGTTACTGCCAAAAAGAATAAAGAGGAAGAAAAAAGGCCACACCAAGTGACTGACTTGTACTGTGTAGGTTTGTGCAAGTCACTCTGTGATGTCCACACAAGGACCATGTAACCTAATGATGAACTCCCCAGAGTGGATTCCTGTTATTAAGCCACTAAAGGCTGTTGCCGATAAATCCTGAAGTGAGGGGAAAATGGTCAGAGCAAGTATGCTGAAGTCACATAAATTCCACAGTGAATCTGCGAGGCAGCCAGCAGGAGAGTGCGCCCTCCAGGAGCAGGCAGATCTCCACAGCAAGCCATACCAACCTCTTTCTAAGAATCCTTCGGGTGGGCATGGGTGCCTATGAGCTTTCTGGTGGAAGGCACAACCCAGGCAGGACAGGTTGGGAGATTTGGGACTGGTTTTGGTACTGGGCCTCAGACAGGACCCAAGGCATCAAAGAGCTGAAGGGAGCCCTGGTTTGGGTAAATGTTGGCCTTTCTGTAACCATGGTGGGGACACTATCTTGGCCCAAAGTGGCTGAACAGCCAAGTGCTAGGGCCCAAGTCCCTGGAAGCACCCCAGGAAAAGCCCTTCTTTTAACTGCTCCTGCTAGGACAGATCCAGAGAGCCGGAAAGCAAAAGGGAGAGTGTGTCTGTCTTGCTCCCCCTAAGTAGTCTCCGATTTTCTTTCTTAGGGAGGAGGCTTCCTGTTACTTTTTGTTCAATTGGGAACTAAAAGCCCCTTTCCCTGGGGATAGCTCTGATTGGATCAAAATGTTAGTGGGAAGGAAAGCATGACTTTCCAAGAACACTCTGGACTTGGACCAAGCCCTCCCCTCCAAGGCCTGGTCCTGAGAATCAGAGGACTAGAAGGATGGGACAGTGGCAGTGACTGGACAGGACTCCCTTCTGTGTCTCAGTTTCCTCACTAGAAGCCCGACATCCTGGGGTTTGGGAAGCTTCATCTAGGAAAATATTTGCAGTTGTAGGCAGCTCTGACCAGCTTGTCCTTCCCAGGTCCTGCTCTTCAGACTGCCCTGGAGTCAAACCCACTGTCCTTCATCTGTGACTCAAACGCCACTGTCAAGGCTGAGGCCTGAGATGATGTCCGTTTTGTTGAGGCCATCAGGAAAGGTTAGGACAAAGCAGACTTGGCCTCTGGCTGATGTCCATGACCCCTGCTGGGCTCCTCTGATGCTCGTAGGGAAGCTGTGCATGTAAGGGCCATCAAAGGACTTGTTCACTAGCCTGGCCCTTTCCTGTTAATGTTCCCTCCTGTCTCCACACTGCTCCCTTCCACTGTCTCCTACTGCTGCTGTCTGTCTCAGTACCAGGCACCGCATATCTCCAAGAACTCTCAAATGTCCCACGAAGCCAGCTTCCTCCAGGCCTGGTGGGTTTCATGGCCGTGAACAGTTGGAAAATGTTTTCTTTTAAAGACAAGTCGGAGAGAGGGTTAGCAAGCGCTGAGAAGCTACGCCTGTTTGTTCTTTATTTCCCTTTCCCTCTGGGGCTCAGAGACCAGTTTCTTTTTTTTTTTTTTCTCTTTCTCTCTTCTTTTTTTACAGTACATTTTTGAAGGCCTCACTCTTTTTTTTTTTGGTGACAGAAAAAAAATAACAGGCATATTTTGGGTGATTACTCAACTGGGGTCCTTTGTGACAGGATATGCAGCTGCGTGACTAATGGAGCTGGCTTTCTCCTGGCTTCCTTCCCTTTTCAGAGCTCTTGTTTACTGCCCTATACCAAAAAAGAAAAAAGAAAAAAAAAAAAGGAAAGAAAAAACCATAAGCAACATATTTTTATGCATTAAAAAAAATAAAAAATAAAAGACTTGTGAGATACTCAAAGGCAATAAATCCTCTGGATATTCCATTTCCAGGGCTGCAAACTCCCCACCCTCTCTCCACTTTTTAACGCTCAAGCTCTTGACTCACGCCATGTGAATCTTCTCTCCCACCCCCATGGCCCTGCTTTCCTCTGAACATATGTCCAACAGATCGTGTGTGCGCACACGGCGGGGTGGGGGAGAGAGGCGAGGAGCCGGAGAAGGGAGCAGGATGGAACCATATTTATGGTGCTTAACTCAGCAATTGCTAAAGGAAGGAATAATGACTTCCAGGGGCTCAGGGCTTTTTTTCCAGGGCCTTTGTGTTTCCATAATCTATGACAGTTTTGTGGTGTAAGCAAAAGTTATTAGAAAACATGGAACTAGCTTAATGAGTAAGGATATGTTCTAAACAGGGAGGAACTGTCTGTCTCTTTACAGGGGAAAATACAAATTTGGCTGGCTTTGCAGTTCTGAGTCCCTGGGCTTCCCAGAGAACTTTTGGAAGAGATTGTCTCTCGTTTATAGTGCCTGATGAGTGCAACTGGCCTTCCTGTTTTTCTGGAGATCAAATGATTTTTAATTTCAAAAGGCATCTAGCCTGTGGGTGGGAAGATGAGCTAGCTAGTTGCATTTAGTAGACACAGATTGGTGTAGACAAAGCATAGGATTGGTGGCCAGGTGATGGGTTTGAGTATCAGTTGTGAATTGGATAGAGAGACATCTAATGCCTGCAGGTCTTGGTGGCTCAGGCAGTGTCTTTGCCCACTAGGCTGATGATGAGAGCGAGAGGACACAAGCAGAGGCTCAGCCGGAGTTGTGAAGCAGCTTGCAGCAATCCCATCCTTCTAACACTTCTTCGTCCAAAGGATCAATTAGTGCTCTTGAGGGAGGAGGCCGGCTAGGAACCCTGAGAGCCACAATGCACACTGATAAAGACTCATGGGTCATGCTATCTCATGGGCAGTTGGAGGCTGGTATGGCCTCAGCTTTGCCCACTCCCTTATCATTGTTCAGGCAGGCCTTGGGATTGTAACTGATCACAGTCTTTCCCTGCTCAGGAAACTCCCTTCTTGACCAAGCTGGCGAAAGGCACCACTTACCCCATCTTGCCTGCCCTTTGTTCTGTGTTGACTCATCTTGTGCACACACACTTTGTCCCTTGGAGTGAGCAATGGACACAACTTAGCCACTGACCCAGCATTTTCAAGAGACATTGCTTAGAGGCCCTCTTCTCTCCTATTCCATTCCTCCTCTTCTACATTAAAACTTGTGCAGAGTCATTTTGTATGTTTCCACTTACCCTTGGCTCCTTCAGAGTCTCCACTGATGAAGAACACCTGATGCAGGCATGCCAGGCCCTCCAGTAAGCTTCAGCAGCTGTCTCCTCTCACTCCCCATAGGTGCAAAGGCTCTTGACAAAAGGATTTGGCTTGATTTCGCCAGAGGACAAACAGAGGAACCCGCCAGGGAACTAAATGGTCAGAGTTTGCACAGCAAGTCAGTGATACAGACAGAAATAGAAAGCCCAAAACCAGTTCCACTTTGCCTGGAGTTTTAGGAGGCATCTTTAACTTGGATATCCCAGAATAACTTCTCCAGGCCAACCAACTGTGAAGTGATGTGTTCTAAGGGTTATTTTTTGCCTTGGCTTAACTCTTAAAACAACACTCGAAACTCCCAAAATCAGCCTAAGAAAGTCCATTTCTCACAATGTCATCTGCTTGCCAAGTTTAAACCTAGTATATTACATCATGGACACCTTCAGGCCTCATTCTCTGCTCACACTGGTACTCAGGTATCTGACTAGAGTTCAGAAATCACAGTTTGTTGAAAGAAATAGATCATTAAGTCAACTAAGGCTGTTGACCTTGCTTACTTGAGGAAGCTGAGCACTAAAGAATGTTCTTTTGACTGGTGTGGACCTGGACTAGTAGCGGCCACTAAATGAATGGTGTGGCCTTCTGATGGTACAAGGTCCATCAGAACTGATGGGGAGAGGATCAGTGGTTTGTTTTAGATGCCTCATGAAAGCTGATAAGTTTTCAGAAATTTTGCAAGGTGGTTGTTAAACACAATTGTTATTAAAAATTAAATGCTAAACATAGCTAAATGAGATATTAGAAACAAAAGTCATAAATCTAAAAAACAAAACAAAACAACCCGGATCACATCCTAAGTATTGTACCACAATGTACTACTATCTGTTTTCTTGAATTATATATCTGCCACATGGAGCTACACATAGTTGCAATACTCTGTATTGGTAAGCCACTGTGAACCTCTGCCCAATTCCACACACAGTGACATCATATGGTGGTTTGAAATCAACGATGGCATGAATATTTACTCTACAGAAATTGGCAGACTGTACTCTCAGGGTTTGATTTTTTGGTTTTGTTTTGTTGATAATCTAGATCTAAGAAAATGATAGAGAAAATATTAATAAAATATATTAAGTGTAAATGTGTGTTGTGTCTGTAGCAATGACATGGTGAATAACTCAAAATATTGAGATAATGTTTTTCTAGTTTTCAAAAACTGTCATTAATTTTCAAAGAAGTGCTCACACCATGGAAAAATTAATGAAGTTCTAAAATACAGTCGTGCATAGCTTAATGATGGGGATATGTTCTAAGAAATGTGTTGTTAGATGATTTCATTATGTATGAGCAGCATAGAGTGTATTTAAACTAAAATGACTAGGGAGCCAGTAGGTGATACAATCTTTTAAAAATATTATTAACTCATTATATGGAAACAGATACAGAGAGATTAAGTAATTTACTTAAGGTCATAAAGCTAAGTAGTTTGTAAAACCTGAATATGAACCTGAGAATATCAGATTGATTTTAATACTACTATAGCTGGAATCTAGAATCTTTGTATGCAAGTTTCTAAGTTGATATAGGGGAAAAAGAAATGAAGAAAATATTTAATAGAATAAAAAGAAGAAGGAGAAACATAAAAGCAGTAGATAATTGTGAAAAATCAAGATGTCTGAAACTCTCTTGATCATTGCAATAAGTGTAAATGGACTAGATTCTCCTTCTTACAGGATTATGGTCACATATCTGGTCCATTGCTGACCAAATCATTGATGTGCACCTCCTGACTAGACATTTTGTTGCTTTGCTTTTCTCTTATTCATTATTGCAAGTGAAATTATCAACCAACATTGATATCTGATCTACACCTGGAAAGCCAAGGTTAACATTTACCAGTATACTACTATGACCCACACTCTTGGTGCTCCAGAAGGAAGATCATTGTGGAATATCTACAGTATCAGTAGGAATATCAAGAGGAAGGAGCATGCCTGAGGGACAGTCATAAAGAGGAGATACTAACTATTGGGAAGAAGTGAACACAGAAGATAGGATTAAGAGCCAGCAGCATGGAGAATAAGCCAGATGGACAATAAGCCATGTGGAGAATAAGATTTGTCTAACTGAGCACATCAGTGGAACACAAAATCACTTCTAAATTCAAGTGTAGGGTACTGTATATTTACAGTGCTTTGAAATTTGAACAGTCCTTCCTCTATGTAAACTCATGTGATCACCAGAACCAAACTGCAAGGCCATCAATCACCTTGTGAAGTTGGAGGTAGAGAATTGATCAAGACACAGCTGGAGGAGGTAGGGGAAGTCAAATGAGCCAATGAGCTCTACTTCTGTGTGTGCAGATGGCATCCTGCCAGTCTGGAGACACTGCAGAGAGGCTTTGTGGCAGTAACACTGACTCAAGAGGACCTGCCTGAGGCTTTGGGGCTGTCACCATTGAAACCTAACTGGTTCTGCATGCTGCCAGAATGTTGCTAATGCTTTTGTATGTGCATGGTATTCAACCTAGACTTTTCATCTGGTGAAAAACAATGAGTAATGCACCTGCACATGCAAGGATTAGAAAGGGAAGGACACCAGGCTCAAGCCATGCCTATAATCCCACCACTTTGGGAATCTGAGGTTCACAAGTCTGAACCTGGCCTGGGTGTCTCAGAGACCTTATAAGACTATCTCAAAATAAAATGTTAAAAAAAGGGCAGGAGATATCACTCAGTGCAAAAGTCCTAAGTTCATTTCCAAGTACTACCAAAAAAAAAAAGTATGGACCCTCAAGGCAGAGTAATGTGTTCCACAACCCCTGGTGGGTCCCCTCCACAGCAAGAAGGGAACACTTAATCCATGGACTGGCACAGCCTGAGATCACCTCCGGGGGGATGAGAGAAGGATACATAGCATAAGGTGCTCCTCAGTGTAGCCAGGCATACTTACAAAATGGAGCCTTTAGCCAGGTGTGGTGCATGCCTGTAATCCCAGTACTCAGGAGGCTGAGGAGGGGGGATTGTTACAAGTTCCAGACCAAACTGCGCTGCGAAGTGAGCTCAAGGGCAGCCTGAACTCTGTCTAAAAAACAAAAAAAGGAAAAAGAAAGAAAGAAAGATAGAGCATCTATCCATCCTGGTCTATTTCTACACGACCGGACATATTATTCGTGCTTGTGTGTGGAGATATAGAATCAATGAGAAGGGCACACAGCAAGTGAAAGGGCTCTTTTTGGAATAGTGATGATTTATGAGACTTTCATAATTTCTTTTAGCTTATAGGTATTTTCTGATTTTCCTTTATAACTAATAGACATTACAGTAGGAATTAAGAGAAAAGTTGATGGTTTCTTGTATTTTATGTGAAAATTTTAGTTAAATACATAAATATATTCATATATAAATATATATGAAAAACTATATTCCTCTTTCCTTATATAATTATGTATTATATACAAACAATGTAACATGAATTTTATATATATTTAAAATATATATGTCCATTCGTAGAGAAATATTTTATTTTTTGGAACCAGGGATTGAACTCACAACCTTGTGCTTGCCAGGCAGGAGCTTATGCCACTGAGCTAAATCTCCAGCCTCACTGGCAGCTTCTAAAAGCTGGACCTGGGCTTTTTGTTGCTGCAGGCTTTGGAGTGTGTGCAAGCTCAGCCTGGCCGGGGCAGGGCACAGGACTGGTCAGCACAGTTGTGTGAACCATGGATGAACAGCTAGAGCTGCTTACTTGCAGCAAACAAAAAACCCCCAGGAGAGAATGCTGTGGATTTAAATCCTTCACATGAGGACTAAGCCTTGTGGGTGCTGCCCAACATCGGGCCAAGTGGGAGATTAATCAGGAGCATGATCCACAGGGCAAAGCAAGAGCCAGGTAATGAACCAAACACCCTTTGATGGGAGCGTGATGCTGCATCCTGGCCGTCCATGCCCCAGGGGAGGTAAATTCAATGACCTCTTGGTTATTTCCATCCCATGTGATCCACAGCACTTCCCTGACGCTTATGTAACTGTTTGCAATTTATTCTTTGGCTTATACTTTCTAGATGGCTCTGAAGGAAAACAGTGATTTTCCCATTTTTTTTCTGGGCCATACAAATAGTGAAGTTTTAGTTTCCTATCTGATTTGTCTCAGTCACCATCATCCAATATGAGGAAGGGCTTACGGGGAAGATAGTCTTCAGCAGTGTGTCTGGACTAGGCAGAACCTCTGTGCTAAGGTGGGTCCACCTGTGGGTGGAGCAGGCCCACTGTTTTTTCCCCAGTCCTGTTGCCTGTAGACTTCTCGGAAGGCCTCTGTCTCTACCTAGGGCTTTAAATTCTCTGATGGATGTTTTGGTGTCACAGCACATGTCCCATGGAGGTATCAGAATGTTTTCCACTCATCGTAAACCACCCTTCTGCCAAACAGTTTTTAAATCCTTCCCTAGCTTGAGTAAGGATTGAGAAACAATAGAGAATTCATGGTTTTGTACAAACTACATGGAAAGTTTCAGGGGCTCCAGGAGGGAAGGATGGGGAGGAGAATAAAAACAAAACATTAGGGTCTCAGGATGTCCAGCTTAAAATATTAGCCTCTGGGATTCACTCAGTCTATAAATACCATTCTCATCACCTGGAGTTGTAAAGCTAACATTGTTTAGCTCCTCCGGCTTTGCCTTTATGGTCTTCTTTGATTGTAAGACATTGTTCAGCCAACCACCACCTCCCCTGAGCCTGTGTGTGATTCTAGGACTATCAGGGGATTGCCTAGAAAGGAAAACATGTTATACCACGGCCCCCAAGAAGGAACCGTCTGTGTCTACTCAGTGTCATTAAACATGTCTCTAGTTCTTGCTTGCTATCCATCTTTTTGGTCACTTAAATTCCATTTTAGACACCCAGTAAGTATTGCTGAAGGCCCTAGCATGTTAAAAAAACTATAGAGTGCTGTTGTCACATAGAAAGAATTCTGGGTCCAGGTTGGGGAAATAGAGATTCAATAGAGAGATGAAGGCCAACACATCTGCAGCAAAAAGCATATAAGACAGTCTTCAACAAATAACCAGACTGTACAGATTTGACAAAAGTGTGGCAAGTGGTGCAAGAGAGACCACGTAGACTCCAGGGCCCCAGAAGTTTGCTGGGGAGAGGAAGAGTTTGAAGGGCGGGCAAGACTGAAGCAGGACCTCTCAGAGATGTCCTGGGCTGGGGGAAGGATTTGAGCAAGGACAAAGACAAAGATAAAGCA